ACAATTCATGCAATATCAAATTCGATAACGAGTTATTTATTTAGACCATTCTGTAATATGAGCGAATTCTATCATACTATGGCAACTCTGATGTACTTGGACAGCAATCACTCTTCCATAAAAGAAATGTTTGGATGAGTTTCAAATTCAAACAATATGATCAATTAAAAGTGAGTGTGTCATAAACTCCTCTCTCTTTAATTCTCCATTCTTCTGCATAACTTATCTTCTCTTATCTCTGGCTGATCTTCCAGGAGCTTCGATCCGTGCGGGAGAAAGATAACCAACCATCTCGTTTAGAAGTGCCCAGTAAACTTCCATTGAAGCATGCTGGTATGGATGACATGGAATCAAGCAAGAGATAAATCTCCCTGCTGTAAGAAAAGAAGCCATTTCCTAGAGGTCAGATTATTTTGTACTATATAATTTTTATCTATCAGTTTTCGAAGATCTAATACGAGGCAGCGTGTATATCGATTATTTCCATTACGTTTATGTCGTTGTATTGGTGTTTATGGTTCCCTACAAACATAAGAAGTGAGCTCTGTGTATAGAATATCCCATTTTTGATATGTGAAATTTGTAGTTCTTGCAATAATTCAGTCTGTGTCTGTCTCTGTACTTGTGAAATTTTGAAAGTTTATTCAAGAATCCTTAGGTTCAGTTAAATTCAATCAGATGTGAGCTTCTCCAACAGTTTGTAATTTTTGGTGTTAGGTTTTCCTATTTCTTGTCAAATGATTTGTGAATGCATTGCTTTGCTTCATACGTGAAAGTTTTAGCTTACTTAGGATAGATTTGTGGGTTATCGGTGATTTAACATATTTAAGATGGTATTAGAGTCGGAGGTCCTATGTTCGAACTCATGTCTTGTTAAAAAGAGTAAACTAGATGGGCAAGAAAATCGAGTTTCTGATGTATTTCGCCTACTCATCTCATTGAATTATTTTAGCCCACCCGTCTTTATTTTATATAATTGTTCTGTTTTCTTAAATCATATTCTGTTAAATCATCTCATCAATTTAATCAATATATCACGTCAATATTTACGCAATCGCATCGGTCAAAATTCAAAAACTAGGGATGAAATTGTTAACTAGAAGATGATACTTCCACCAACAAAATCCACTTCCCAACAAAACAATGGGCCATCCAACTTTTGGAAGAACTTCTAGGAGTCAGTTTGATGTTGTTTTCACTCAAGTTGGAAAATTCATCACCATTTTGTTAAGTAGTCTTTGTTTGTTGCTTTCCATCTTTTCCTTTGACATCATCATTCATCACACAAATTTGTTTGTTGCTTTCCCTCTATTTGTCCTTTGCTTCATCTCACTTTTTTTAAACCTCCATCACTCAAGCTTGGCTCATATTTGATTACTACGCACAATTTATTTCATCATCTTTGTCCTAACAAATTCAGTTACGTTCAAATTCAGTTACGTTCGGATTGGTGATCTTCAAATTTTTCTGTGTGCTTACAATTCATAAATTACGTGATGTCTTTTTCATTTTCATATTAATGTTAATTAATAACAGGATGTCTAATAATTAATGTTAATCTAATTTTTGTATGGAAACTTCCAAGCTTACYCTAAAGTCTCTAAACGATATATATATATCCAAGCTTACTTTAAAGTCTTTAAATGTTTTTCATATATAATTAGCACCCGAGAAGTAGAACTAGATGCATCGATCTTCATACTTTGCAAAAATAATAAAGTATTTAGAACTTTTAAATTTGATTCAAAAGCACTAAAAAAGAACAATTAAATTCATTTTCCCATTTGTTTTAATGAAAAATATTAATTTATTTTTTGTTTTTGAAAAAATACGATGTGATAGTTGAAATATAAAATACCCTATGGTTTTCTTTTCTTTCTTTTTTTTTTAACTACAAATGCCCTTTGGTTATACCACGGCTTGGATGTCTAATTGTCCAGACGGTAATTATAATATATTGTACCTGAATCGGTGGCTCACTTTTTCTAAGTAATGGGGAAGATGACCGAAACATGCCACTGAAAGACTCTACTAAGACGAAGATGAGCTGTCGAGAAGGTAGGAAGTTGACCCTTGCGAACAGYTTGATGCACTATCTCCTTTCAACCCTTTGAGCGAAATGCAGCAAAAGGAAGGAAAATCCTTGGACTGACCCCATTGTCTCCACCCCGTAGGAACTACGAGATCACCCCAAGGATGCCTTCGGTATCTAGGGGTCGTGGACCGACCATAGAACCGTGTTCAATAAGTGGAACGCATTAGCTGTCCATTCTCCGGTTGGACAGTAAGGGTCGGAAAAGGACAATCAATCATTCTTAAAACCAACATTCTTAAGACCAAAGAGGGGAGCGGAAAAGGGGGCTTGCATGGTATTTTAATTTAAGGGGCAGTTGCAAATATGACAAATTTTTTTTTTAGTAAAATTAGCAAAATAACAACTATATTTAGTTTTTTCAAATATAAAACTTTTTTAGAAAAGGAAATGGACGTCCAATTTTTTAAAATGACAATTTTACCCAAATGATATATCTCTAATATATATGACTACTGATATATGTATGTGATATATATCTGATATACTACTGATATGATTATTTAATATATTTGCAATATGTATGTGATATATATCTAATATACTACTGATATGACTTATGAGTGTGTATGTGCAATATGTATATGATATACATATAATATACTATTGATAGAACTTTTTTGTTATATTTGAAAATTTTAAAAACATGTGACATATTTTGAAATACATAAAAGATTTTTGTCTTAATTTAAATTGAATAGAGGCAAGTTGCATTAATATTTATCATAAAAAAAGGTAGGCTAAATTACCAAAAAAAAACCCCTTTAAAAAATATCAATACTACCTTTTGATCTTTCTAAAATACTTTTGTACAAATATTCATTAAAATTAACGTCTCAATTTTACCCTATAAATTTTATTCTCTATCGTCGAGAGAACTTACTTTTCCTCTGTCTACTCAAGTTAGCCTTAATCCCCTTTCTAAAAACGATAGTTTATTTCGTATTTTCTCTTTTTCCATATTTAATCTCGATAACATTTCACGTTAATTGTGATGCTGCTCAATATTATGTTATGTCGACTACTTTCTACTTAAAATATCAACCGTTGTGCTTAGTATTTTTAAAACTTCTATAAAAATTAAAGAGTAGTATTGAAACTTTTGAAAGGATAATATTATTTTTTAAATGAAAGATAAAGTTTAAGGATATTTTTTATAATTTAGTCAAATATTAGTTTTAATAATTACACTCTCGAGAGATTGACCAATGGACTTTAACAYGGTAATAAATTTCTTAGTTTGAAAACTGAAAATGTTGTGTAAATTAATGAATTAAACAATCACACGTGGCAAGCAACCATTCGAGAGAGTCAGAATAATCGTGCTTAAAAAATTGCAGAATTGACACGTGTAATTTCAGGCTTCTGAAACCAAACCAACGACCCCGCGCATGGTTGCAGGCTCTTCATCATTGGAACCGCCAAAAAGAAAATCAAGGAAGAAGAAAGAACAACAACAAAATCCGAAGCGAACGCGATGATTCGGAATCATTGAAATGGAATAGCCACTTCTCCACTACATTTCTCCGTAGAGATCTGATCTGAGAGTGAGCGTTACGGTTGCTGTTCTGGATATGGAGGAGAAATTGGTGCAACGCCTTGAATTCGCTGTGTCTCGGCTCGAGGCATTGTCGGTAGGGTTCACCACTGGCGGTGGCGGCGTCTCCTCGAGAAGTGTTGACAATGCGGCGTCGGACCCTTCGATTTTGGCTTTCCAGGATCTGATGAGGAATTACGTTCAGAAGGTTTCGGATGCTGCGGAGAAGATTGGAGGTCAGGTCCTGGAGGCCTCGAGGATTGTGGAAGAAGCTTTTTCCGTTCAGAAGGAGCTTCTTGTCAAGATCAAGCAAACGCAGGTAATCGGTTTGAAATATCTTTAAGGAAGGCTTCATGAGTTCGTTGATCGATATCATCATTTCCATGTAATTTTAATCGTCGTCGTAGGTTTTATTGAGATTCATCGAAATGTAATGTACTTCTGCGATTGGAGGTCGCGTAGTCTATGAATTTACAGATTAGAGAGTAATGCTGATGTTAATTGTTTGGTGGAAAAAATAGCGTCTCTGTCGTTAGTTTGAAATTTCTCTCTGAACGAATTGCTTTGTTTTGTTGAATGCGTTCACTGTGATTTGTAGAAACCTGATATGGCGGGGTTGGCTGAATTTCTCAAGCCGTTGAACGAAGTGATTCTGAAGGCAAACACATTGACTGCRGGGAGAAGATCTGAGTTTTTTAACCATTTGAAGACTATTGCTGATGCTCTCTCAGCCCTAGCCTGGATTGCATATACGGGCAAAGGGTGTGGTATGGAGATATTTTTAGTTATTTCTTCTGATAGAAATGTGTAGCTTCACTCCAAGACTTATAATTCCCTTTTAATACTATTTGAAGGTATGAGCATGCCCATAGCTCATGTAGAGGAAAGCTGGCAAACGGCTGAGTTTTACGGCAACAAGGTACGTTAAATTTGGCATAAGAGTTGATATACTCATGATTCGAGCAAGAACACTAACTAATATCTATATAAACATGTAAAAAAGAACTTTTAAGAAGCAATGTAATAATGTTTAAAACGAACCTGTGGCCTGTGGACAATGCTACTTTAGTCCTGTCTGTGAATTTGTGAACACTTAATTTATCAGCTTCTTTTAATGTTTTTGCTTGCGTAATTTTAGCCAATCAATGATTCAACATAAAGAAATAGATTGGGGAATAGGAAAAATGTTAAACTTTAAAGTATGATTTTGAAGCATGCTACTTTATGAAGATCGGATGTTGGATATCCTACACGTAGACTTGTCGAAATATGATGCTTGTGCTTGTTTATAGTTGATATTGGTGCTGATTAGCTGGACAGAGTAAATTAAGGCTGTGTTCATCTTTTGCTTTCTAATTTTAGATTCTTGTGGAGTTCAAAAACAAAGATCAAAACCATGTTGAGTGGGCCAAGGCTGTGAAGGAACTATTCTCTCAAGGTTTGAGGGATTATATTAAAAATTTTTATCCTTTGGGACCAGTTTGGAACCCTGCTTGCAAAAGAACTCCAGATACTTCAACGAAATCTTCTGCCCCAAGTGCTCCCGCTCCCCCACCTCCCTCAGCTCCCCTCTTTAGCACTGATTCTTCTCAAGCATCACCACGACCAAAAGAAGGGATGGCTGCTGTGTTTCAGGAAATTAGCTCAGGGAAATCTGTAACTCAAGGTACAATTGATTCTGTTTATAAAATTTTTTTCTTTATCTAAGGGCTAATTGATCTGTATCCAATTAGTTATGTTGCGTTAGTTTTTACATTTTTTTATGCTTTTTAGGCTTGAGGAAAGTTACTGATGATATGAAGACGAAAAACCGTGCCGAGAGAACTGGCATTGTCAATGCCACTGAAATAAGTCATAGAAATTTGCGTTCTCCATCGAAGTCAGTTGCTGCTCCCAAACCCAAATTCGAGCTTCAAATGGGTCGGAAGTATGTCTGCTTAATTATTGTCCCTAATGAAGGTAACGATATCCATGTGATTCATACACATTTTCCCCCTGTATCCTTGCAGGTGGGCCGTTGAGAACCAAATTGGAAAAAAGGACTTGGTTATATCAGACTGTGATGCAAAACAGTCGGTGTACATTTTTGGATGTAAAGATTCTGTTTTGCAGGTTCAAGGTGATTTGGTTTCAACTCTGTCTTCTCTAAATCGAATCATTTACATCACTAGCATGATATTGTGCTGCTATTTAACTCAATAACCTGAAATTCTTGTTGTGTTCCGGAGCTGATTTGGGGTAAGCAAAGCTTGCACATGGATTAGTGGGGATAAGTCATAATTATGATGCAAGGAGTGGGTCCCTAATTCCCGGTTACCAAAAAATATGTTGTGCTGCATTTAAAAAATATTCGTATGTTAAGCTTATTCCGTGAGCTACTTATCATCCCTTTCAACTATGTGCAGGAAAGGTCAATAACATAACAGTTGACAAATGCACTAAGACCGGGGTTGTATTCACTGTAAGTGCAAAATAAGGAAGAAGCACACCATTTCAGTTCATTTAAGTCAAGCTCATGTGAAATAATTTTGTCTTGTTTGTTTGTGGCAAACAATAACAGGATGTTGTGGCTGCATGTGAGGTTGTAAACTGCAACGGCATTGAGATTCAATGTCAGGTAACTTTTACGAACGATATGCTCCCATTACACGTGCCCTATGATAATGTTTTATAGGACATAAAGGATATAATAAGAAGACAGAATTATAATCTCCATGGTTAAGTTGTTTTGATTTCTGCTGTAATATAGTAGTTTCTGGTTATTCTAGGGATCGGCCCCAACTATTTCGGTGGATAATACGGCTGGCTGTCAATTGTATTTAAGCAACAATTCTCTGAAGTCATCTATAACGACTGCCAAATCAAGTGAAACCAATGTTTTGGTGCGAGGAAATGATCCAGATGGTGATTGGGTATATCTCTATCTTATAGATACATTATGCATTGTTTTTAGTTGGATCTTCCAGATTTCTTTTTCTTCATTTAGGCAAGTTGGCGTTAGTGGTACATACAAAAAGATAAGGGCTAAGGCTTCATCTGATAATATTTTTACATTCTTAGCCCAAATTTGAAAACTTTGTCTGAGGATTTAGAAATGGTTTTGAAAATAGGTTACAAAAGAAACAAGATTGTTTGTGACTGTATAAAAACATTATTTTTAAAAGAACAGAAAACAAACAACAAAAACATTATAAAATGCATGACATTTCATCTAAACAATAATTTAGAACTCATAAAAAATGTTCAGGCGTATAAATTTTTAAAGATACTTGATGATAGAGAGACCTATTAAAAAGAAAAATTCATTATGCGAAAAATATTACCATTACAGAATCTCTCCTACCCTAATTACACAAACAAATTACACAAACAACAATCGCTCAAAACTTTATACCACATACACAACTAGAGTTAGTATACCAAATAGGATGAATAAAACTCAAAAGTCACGGGCCTCGTTTACAATACTTGGAGCTCAAAACTTACCGTAACTTTCAGATGTGGAATTGTTTATCTTCTTATATTTTGCAAAAGACCCAACACTTGGTTGTGATAAAGATTGAAGAGTCCATTAATYTTTTCTGGATGACCTCCATGGTTTATATTCACAGGTGGAGCATGCGTTACCCCAGCAGTACATTCACATAGTAAAGGATGGTCATATTGAAACAACTCCAGTTTCTCACTCTGGTGCCTAATTTAGTTTGACTTCTGGTGATCAACACATATCTGAGCCATTAATTTTTGCTTCATAATCATTATTTAATTTTTTATACAGTTGATTGAGATGGCAATGGCATTTCTTTCAATTTCTTCTTTTGACACTTGATTGTGACTTCTAGATATCTTCTACCTTTCTTTTATAAAATATTTCTGCTGCAGTTTGACAACTAGTTCTTTGTATATGAATTTTGACAACTTCCCTTTAAACTTTTTCATTAATTTATTATTCATTTTTTATAATGTTATGACCATCTCATATAGTTCTTCAACATTTGGTTGGGATTTCAATATCGCAGGGTAGGTGACTGATATTGCCGTTCTTTTGTTTTGTTTTTTCATGTTATAATGGAACAAGTGAGATGAGGAATTTTATTCATGTTTGGTTAGTGAAAGAATTGAACAAAAAATTTCATGTTTGGTTTATAGATAAAAAAAAAATTGAGGTTGAAAAATTCATTTGGGTGCTGTAATTTTATCAAAGTAAAATTTTAGTTTGTAACGATAATTTATGTAGTTTCAAATTGGTATAAACTTAGCACATGATCAGTATGTAATAATTTAGTCTTCATAATTTAAAATTTATAACAATTTGGTCCATACAATGAAAGATCTTAAAAGTTGGTTTTTATAATATAATAATTAGTCTTTGTAGTTTATACACACGTTTGATCCCTCGTCATTTTATCGAACTACATATGTAAGAAATCTTAACAAAAATTTTTACGATAGAGATTAAATAGGTACAAACTTTAAATTAAGAGGTTATATTGTTACATATTAAAATTCATATACTAAATTGTTGTCAATGTGAAAATAGAGAGATTAAATTGTTATAAACTAAAGTTAAAAGACTAAATCGTTACTTCAACTACAGTTTAGGTCAAAAAATATTTTTTTTAAATGATATTTAAATAAGAACTAAGAAATAGTATTCTATGCATGGTTGGATTTGACGCCTGTTTTGATTAAAATACAATGTTATTTTGTTTCTATTTAGAAGTCACGTTTAAGAACAATCGTCATTGTTAAAAGTTTTAAAAGATTAAAATATAAACCGCTTTAAAATAGAGTTTTTATAAAATATACCTAATAATCATCTTGAGCATAACTCAACTCTATCTGCGATCAAGAGGTCGTAAGTTCGAATCCTCACCCTACATGTTGTAGGTTAAAAAAAACAAAATACACTTACTACTTTTTGGTGCATATAGTTAGTTTAGATACACAAGGTAAAATAGTATAATTTTAAATCAATAAATAGATAAAAATATTTAACAACATAAATTATATATTTTTTTGAACGACAACATAAATTATATCAATTAATATTAAGCCAACAATAAAGATATTGTTGGAATAATCGACCACTTTAACATATTTTAGACAAATACTTTAAATGAACAACGATGTGTAATGTTGGAAAGAAAAATATTACCCTAAACAATTTTTCTTTTTTGATAAATTAAAAAATACAAATATAATTTATTTTTATGCATTAAAATTCAGTATAATAACTTCTAGTAATTTGTTTATATTTTTAGTGCAAAAAATAAGGAATATGAGAGATTGAACTTCCAATCTCAAGAAAAAGAATAGATATCAATGACTATTGAGTAATGTTCGTGTTGGAACTTGTAAGCAATTTGCCGATGTTACTAAATACATAGTGTGTTCATATAAACATGATTTAATTAAAGAGTTAAAAAATAAATATTTATGAAAAATTTTCAATTGAAACAAAATAAATTAGGATATTAAAAAGTTGTATGGAATATATTATAAGATGTACTTATATTTACAAGTTAGATTACTAAATAAAAATCCGTTGTCGTCCAGCGGTTAGGATATCTGGCTTTCACCCAGGAGACCCGGGTTCGATTCCCGGCAACGGAAATTTTTTATCTTTTTTTCATTTGTTTTATTTACTTTTAATTCTCTCCTTTTTTTAATCTTCTTTTATTTTGAAATTTCTCCTTTTCTCCTTTATTTCATTTTTAAATTTTTCATTATTTTATTTTTAAATTTCTCCTTTTTATTATTTTTATTTTTAAATTTTACTGTAAAAATCATTATTATTTTTAATTTATCGACTTAAATCACCATCATTACTAACCGTTTTAATTGAAAATTTTCCTCCAAGTGTGGGGTCTCATAGGATTCCAACTTTAATGGAGTGGAGAATTCTCCATTTAATTATAGGTGAAAAGAAAAATCTTTAATTTGAATTAAAAACTTATAAGATAAGGATAACGACCAAGACTAAAGAAGAGGATAATTATTATTTTTTCTATTAAAAAAATGAGGATAATTATTTTGCGGCCAATTAATTAATCAGCACAATTATTATAACAATAAAAAAAAGTAGAAAAAATTAACTAATTATTACTTGTTAGAGCCTGAAAATTGATGACCGGTGGGCCCCACATGACACGGTGTCCAGCACCCATCATCAGCTCAACACGTGGTACAGTGTGGGCCCCGGCGGCTTCAGGAGAAGAAAAAGAAAAAAAATTATAAAAATAATTCTCCATTTTTCGGCTTCGCTTCGTCTCTTTCGTCCCGATCGGGCCAAAATCAATATTTTTCTTCTTCAGAGAGACGATCTTCGACGGTTCCTGCTTCTGCAAACCCTAGTTAAACCCTAGATTTTGCGTCGATTTCGCCCTAATTTCTCCCCTCATTGTGCTGTTTCAGTGTTTAGGAGTTGAGTGAAGTTCCAGTTGGGCGTGTGGATGGCGTTTCTTGGTTGAAATTTCTGTAGTAAAAATGTCTGTTTCCGAGCTCAAGGAGCGGCATGTGGCGGCCATTGAAACGGTCAACTCTCTCAGAGAGCGATTGAAGGAGAAGAGGCGTTCGTTGCTAGACACCGATGGTGAGCTTCTTGATCACTCTTGAGGTTTTTTCTGATTAATGTTTTCGGTTGTGCTCCTTGGTCTAGATCTCATCAGTTTTGGTGGTTGCTTCCGCAGTAGCTGGGTTTGCGAGGTCTCTGGGGAAGAATCCCGTCTGCTTCGGAGCCACGGATCTCGTGTGCTGTAGAACTCTGCAGGGTCATACTGGAAAGGTATGTTTTGTTGGATATCTGCGAGGACGGCCTTGTTCTCTGTACTAGGCTGCGAAGAAGATTTGAGATTGTCGCTTTAGCGTAAACGAAGGTTGGAAATTTTAGTTAAGATTTTAAATTACTCTACGAGATCAGTTGACTTACAAATAATTTTGGGTTCTCTAGTTGAGAGGACACGATTTGGAAGCCAAGTCCTTCGAGAGATTTTAAGAACTTGACTAACAAACGTACGTGGTGGTGGGGAAAGGTCTAGTGTAGGGAGGCCTATAAGCAAAATGATAAAAAGACAGTATCTTCAAGAGATAGCTTACTGTGGTCTGGTTTATGCTATGGTATATGTTTTATTCTCATCAAACTATTTATCTCATTTACTGGTACTTGATTTGACTCATTGTTGGAACACAGAGCCTGGATATCAAAAATAATTTCCAATCCTGTGATCGAGTGTTTCTTATTCAGTGGTCATGCTCTGAAGCAAGTCACTGTTTCTCTACAACTTGACCCTCGATTCTTAACTGGGGTTGGAAAATAATTGTTGAAACTACTGCAGGTGTATTCCTTGGATTGGACTTCAGAGAGAAATCGAATTGTCAGTGCATCTCAAGATGGGCGTTTGATAGTGTGGAATGCTCTAACAAGCCAGAAGACTCATGCCATAAAGCTACCCTGTCCTTGGGTCATGACTTGTGCTTTCTCACCTTCTGGTCAATCTGTAGCGTGTGGTGGTCTTGACAGCGTTTGTTCTATCTTCAACCTCAACTCTCCAACTGACAAGGATGGGACCCTACCAGTGTCCAGAACGCTTAGCGGGCATAAAGGGTATGTTTCCTCTTGTCAGTATGTTCCAGATGAGGATACTCACCTCATTACTGGCTCTGGGGATCAGACGTGTGTCTTATGGGATATTACTACTGGACTTCGGACGTCTGTTTTTGGAGGTGAATTTCAGTCAGGACATGCAGCGGATGTATTGAGGTATAACTGATTGCTGGTTTTTGTTCTCATTACATTTGTAAGGATTTGGTTTACAGATGAACAAYCCAGTTCATTGGAGTTCCATTGCGTGATCTAATTATGATCTAAACTTTCAATATGAATATGCAATTTGTTTCATTAACTCGTTTTCTTGCTTATATTACATTTTCCCTTCTGTAAGCCCTTCTGACTTATAACGTGAAGATGGATGATTTTTAATTGTCTAATGCTACATGGATATTTTATTTATTAATATTGCCTTTGTAAGTGTTTGACTATTTTGTTATTCTGCATGTTTTAGTGTCTCTATTAGTGGATCCAATTCCAGAACGTTTATTTCTGGTTCGTGTGATGCAACTGCTCGCTTGTGGGACACTCGGGTTGCTAGTCGAGCAGTGCGGACGTTTCATGGGCATGAAGGGGATGTTAATGCTGTGAAGTTCTTTCCAGATGGTAATCGATTTGGAACTGGTTCTGATGACGGCACTTGCAGATTATTTGATATCAGAACTGGGCATGAACTCCAAGTTTATCATCAGCTGCACAATGATAATACCACCCCGCATGTAACTTCCATTGCATTCTCCATATCCGGAAGGCTTCTGTTTGCTGGATACAAAAATGGCGATTGCTATGTGTGGGACACTTTACTTGCAAAGGTATTGCATGTTCTAATGTCAAGAAGAATACGTGGATATCCAGTTTGTTCAAAATAAGTCCTTTCATTAAGACAGAGATGTTGTCCAATAATACTTTTGATAGCATACTTCAGTAGAAGTAGAACAAAATTTTCCATGCGTATATAACTGGATCCTTTAGCAGACTATCTTTTTGGGTGAAATGAGACGTGTTGTTAATTTTTATGACTGCAGATGGTTTTGAACTTGGGATCACTTCAGAACTCACATGAAGGGCGGATTAGTTGCTTGGGTTTGTCTGCTGATGGAAGTGCTTTATGTACAGGAAGTTCGGATTCAAACCTGAAGGTAAGTGTGCTTTTTAACCTGGTATTTCTACTTCATTTTCACATGCTCCTGCATCCTCCTCGAACATCTTTGAGATTTGTGGGACCGTTTATATTGCATAAGCATTGAAAAACAATAAATAAGGTGTGATAGGGTGGTAGAGGAATAAGATCATCTTCTTTTGATGGTTATATAATATCATTTTATTCATTATAACCATAGCGAAGAGATTTTTTAACATTCCATGATTCCATTTTTGTTCTAAAAATTGTTTGGGAAAAATTCTCAGTTTGTCAATTTTAACATTGAACTTTCAAGTTTATCAAATTAAATGTGATACAATTATACCTCCTTGATACTAAATTAAAAAATTACTCACTAACCAACCTATAAATCACACAATATTCAACCAACAAAACACTCAAGATGAAGCCACATAAATGCCTAACCTAAACCATGAAAATACCCAAACCTTGAACAAATTGTCCAAACCAAGCTAAAAAGCATTTAGCATGATCAAAAGTATCAATTTCTACAAACATAGTCTTGTTTAGCTATAAGAGTGTTCACAAGTAGCCACAAATCTTTAAAAAAATATATGCAAACTTAACTAATCAATCGATATTAATTGCATCCATTATTCAAGGTTAGAATTTAATTTGATAAATTTAATTTAAGGGGTTAAATTGACAAATTAAGTGAAGCATGCCTGAAAAATGAATAATTCCTTGAAATTTTTTTTAAGAACTATGATCGAGTGGCTTGTAAAGATTAATATTATTGTACATATTGAGACCACTGTTCACAACTCGTGATCTTGGATGGAAGAACAAATTAATTTGGTTTAAAAGAAAAATTAGAATTTTTTTTAAAGGAGTGTTTTTTAAACACGTAGCAAAACAGTTCCTAAAGAACCTGTAAAGCTCCTAGTTTCCACTGAGGATTGAGAACTTAATTATTGTTTGAGGCTCAAACTACATGTTAATTATACTTTGTGGCATTGGAACTATATTTGTATCGTGATTAGAAGCATTTGAGTTTTGCTGCTGATTGTGATGAATGACAAACAATAGGCTGTGGATAAGTGCTCAAAATATAGTTTGGGTAATATGTAGCTACTTCTTAACCCAAAAAGTCATGGAATTTATTTTTGTTTGCATGTAGATATGGGCTTTCGGAGGTCACCGGAAGGTAAACTAAGCATGGGAAGGGAAGGGAAGGGGAAGAGTTTTAAAGGGATGTGTGTGGGGTGTATTCATTCTCTGTAATGCCTTCAGTTTCACTGCAAGCCGCCTGTGTTTTGTGTATGCATGCCATTGCCAGCCAAACCCATTGTTCTTGCTTCTTAAAATCCTTCATATTCTTGGTAAGTAAAATCCATGCTCTGTTCTTGTCTTGTAAGTTGTAGTCTTGAAAATAGACAATCTGAACATTTCCAAAAGGAAAAAATGGAAAATGGCTTTCTTGATCTGGACAGCTTTTCGTTATCTGTTGTCTGTTTCTTTTCTTTCTTTTTGTTAATCTAATATATTTTTTCACTTATGATAAATGTGACATTGTCAAGCCTTGTTTGTAATTTTGCATTCTGTTACTTTTTGTATTTTTTAAAATGAGCGCCAAATATATATGTTAGTTTTAGTCTCTAATGCTTGGCTTTTTTTTTTCTTTTTCTCCTTTTAGTTCTTATTGTTTAAAAATTTTTAATTTTCATACTTTACATGTTAACATTTTATGATTATATCATTTTTGTTAGAAAATGTTTAAAGTGGCTAATAATAAATTTACAAGGCATGATAATTTAATTGAGAAATTAGGCTATCTAAGAGAGTATAAGTCAAAGTTTTTATCTTTGATAAAGTAAAAAATTGGAAGGCAAATTAGAAACAGCATTAGTGACTTTTCATCCTCCAAAATTTTGTCAACTCACAAAATGTGTAAGTTTGTTGTACTTGTACTAAAAAAAAAAATTATGTTTTAACATTTACAATTGGAAAATGTTAAACAATAAAAGGCTAAATTGAAACTTTTAAAGCTATTAATCAAACATCACAAATTATAACATGTATTAGACATTTTAGTTAGTCTACAAATTTTTGTCATTTTCAGTATTATTTATTTAACATCTAAGCTTAGCTTTTAATTACATTTTTAGTTTTAGATTATGCTTTGATTGATTTACTTATTTCATAAATTTTGACTGAAATGTTGAAGTGTTTCATTAATGATGTCAATAACATGTTACTAAGCAGGCTAGTCATAACCTACTTTTTTTTATTTAATCTTCATATCAATTCTAATAAAAGAGAATTCTTTTATCACCTGCAACCGTCATCATTAATATTACACCACAAAAACATGCACTGGTTTGCCAACAGCTACAAATTAGACCCCTTTAGCCACAACCACTCATCAATCAACTGGCAGCAAAATCCATCCTAAGCCCTCACTCGGAATCAATATTCCGAGAAAAACGCATCACATTCACATATTAATAGGCAGAGTGAGTAATGAGGACAACCATTTCAGTCTTTTTTCCCGAAGGGCGGGATGAGACGGGAGGCACCAAACAGCTATGAGGAAACCACTCTCCAAATTAACCATTTAAAAAGGGACGAGCAAATAGAGACTTAAACTAATGAAACAAACTCTCCTCAACATGATGCCCCATCCCACTACTACTAGTCCCGAATGAAGCTTGGTTCAAACTTCAAAATTCTTTCTACAAAGATTCCTGTTTTTGTAGCCCATCCCACCACCTGTGACCTAATTTTTTGCTCACAAACAAAAATCAATAACATTAAATTTCCTTACAATTCGGACTAGCCGCTGGCAACTATCTCATGGATCGCATCGCTAACGACTTCATCATCTGATCTAACGGCCAGCTTCATTGCAACCTCTCTTGAAGAATCGATTCCAAACGATAATCGCACAAGTACCTTCACGTTGCCAATGTATACGCCAGATAATATGCAGGTGTGTGACCTTGAGTTGCTTGGGACAACCTCTGTACCCTGAAATGGACAGCAAAAATGTCTTGAATGGGAAGAAAGACCAATGTGATTTAGTAAAAAGTTGCTAATCCATGAATCAAATATATCTAAACTAAACTACATAAACGCAAATTTCTAGAAACCAACTCACACAATAAACACTTTTTTTTACTATTCACAAATCTATCCAACCATAAATCTGAGTTTCTTTAACTCGTTCTGTTGCACAATGCAAATAAAGACTATACCAAGCCTTTGAATCCCAAACTACAGAAATTTAAGCTTTTGATAAAACCGCAAGTCAACCATTATTTTCCCTTAATGATATTCCCTTAATGATATGCAAGATCGATCACACTATAAACGACTAACCTCACAGGGCTGCATGCCGAGAAGATTTATGACAGCACCTACAGCTTCAGCCAAGCTCTCCCTTGGTCCGAGGCCATATTCGTCGACTCGCTCACAATCTGGACCCAAGCTTTCCCAGGCGTTTTTAAAGTTAGAGACCCCCACTTTCAACATGTAATCAGCTGCAACAACCTCCATGTCCTCCAGTTGATATTCATCTTCCACACCATCTTCTTCTGCCTCCCCAGTGCTTGTGTCAACCTGGTATAACCAAAGAAGTGAAATGTGAAATCAAAATCAAGCATTTGGATGCTAAGCAATGAGCTTGTATGAGAAATGTATGGGATCCTCGTAAACCAATTTTAGCTTCTAAATAGAATTTTCTAGGAGGCCAAATTTAATGAGAATTTCTGTTAGAATTAGACCAATGAGTAACTATAGAACTAGATCAGAAATTGTCAATTCCTCACGCTGGCCCATGTTCTTCCTGTTCTATCAAATCTCTAATCCCAAGTTTTCTCACTAAATGATAATATGGAGCCGAGATATGCTGCCATAAAATTGTGACACTCGCAAACTCAATGATTAACACTTCAGATCCAATTCACCATCCTTGTCTAGTAAAATTTTGCCGAATTACCTCTTTGACAATAAATCTCAACATGTTTGAAAATTTCCCAACGGCAGGGACCCCTTCAGGCTTCTCAAATGCCACAAAGGTTTGTCCGGGTGAATCATAGGGAAGTGATCGGAGAGGCCTGGATGTCACTTCAGAGAATTCCTCTGCTTCAGAGGCATCAACAACAACAGTGACCTGGCAGTAGGCAGAAATAATTATAACATGCTTGATGCAGTTTAAAATAAAAAACAAAAAAAATAGGTCATTTTCCTTGAATCGGTCAATACATTTTCAAGCAGTTGCTCTGGAATTGTATTCGTGCAGTTGTACTGAAACACAACATGGCTATCAAAAATATGCTTAACAACATTAACTGCATATTCCGTTTCTGCTTCCGTAAGCTCCACAGGTGCTGAAGACTGAGAAGATGAATACAATCAAAATTTTAACATTGAAGTATTATTAAAACACAAAATACACCACCATGCATGATTAAAAATAGTAACAATAGAACCTTGAAAAGCTTCCCAAAGTCTGCAAATTCTGGAATCGAGGAAAGTAGCTTTTCATATGCATCAACAGTGGCTATCGGGCCACTTGGAGGAGCACCAAGGCCAGCTGGCTTTTTACCTGCTGCTTTCTTCTCAGCAAGTGGCTGAGACTTGATTTCCTTGGGCACGGAATCAATGTCAAAAGGTTCCTCGGAAGGCTCCTACAACCGTATGCAGAACACATGAGAGACGATCTCTACCGGTACATAATAAACTCACTCAGAAAACTTACATAATTCCTCAAACTTGTTTCTAGATTGATCAGTGGGACATCCAGAGACCCAAAGAGAAAGTCACGGGCATCCTTCTCAGTTTCAGTAACTGTATCATCACCTCCAAGTGTTTTCAAGTATAGGGTGGCCCTATCTCGAACCTGGACAATAAATTCAGCACACAATTTCAAACTGGAACCATTACAAAAAGGCATCAAATTTAAATCACTTCCAGAATTCTTAAAACAATCTAGGCATGGAAAGATCAACAAGTGTAACTAATAAAATACCTCATCGTCATTGTCAAAAAGACATCGTCTCAACAGAACAAATATTCGGGGCTGTAACAGATACTCATAATAACACCACCGTTAGTTGAGTGATAAAAAACAATTTGAGTTTATCCAACTTCAATAAAGGAGAAAGGAATTGGCACCTGCAATGAATCAACTGTAGCACCAAATTTTGCTAATGTGCTCACAGCACTGGCACGAACAGTTGCATTTTCAAGATGTACTCGGTTGTATATGTATCGTATATATTTGCTAGGGTCAGAGGTTTTGGGACCCTCAATCCCCAGAAAATGAAGTATCTACGTTATGTGAAATAAAACAACTAAGTAAAGGTTATGTAACATGAAGATAATAAGATATTAGAGCTTAACAGATGCTAGAATTATTTTAAAATGCATAAATAACCTGTGTCGAAAGATAGGTGAATTCACAGTCTTCAATAAACTCACACAAATGAAGCAACCCGCTCTCTTTTGCATCAGGAATATCTCTGATCAGAATCACAATTGAATCCACAATAGCTTTTTTATAATCAAAGCCCCCTTCTTCTCTGAGAATGTTGCTGAGGAAATTCATCCTGAAAAAGTGACAAAAAATGTGTCCCACACTTGTAATCTAATATATATTGCCCAAAATAATGCAACAAATAAATGTCGAATAATCACAAAATCTTGTACGATATTGTTTTAGRTAAGAAATAAATTGTAAGAAATCACTTACAGAGATCTATATTTCAATGGGAACTTCAAACACAAAGATCTTATAGCTTCTACCACAACAATTTTAAACTCATCCGCAATATCTGACATAAAATTTGTTATCTGCTTCATTAGACGATCCACACTTGATTCATTTCCTGTTTTTAAAAGCGTGGTTATTGCAAGAGTTGCAATGCTTCTGTTTTGATCAGATATCAAGCTCTCCATATCAATATTGCAGTTCGTGACAGCCATTGGATGAGTCATTGCCACCTGCAAGATTTTCAAATATATTTTCAAAATATCAAAGGGAAAGTCAAGAGAAAGAATCATGTTTGCAAAAATGAATAGTTGAGATGAAACCTTATTCAAAGTGCGGACGGCAGCAAATCTTAGCACTGGTTTTGAAGAGCTTAGAAACAGCTGAAGAACAGTTATGGCTGGAGTCAATTCTCTACTTGTCACACCATTCAGCTCAGTGATTGCTTTGGCAGCCTCAAAGATCACCATCTCTGCTTTGTGGCGTAGACAACCCTCAAGAAAATCATAGAAGGGCCGATCACCAGTTTGAGTACTAGTAGCTGATTCACGAATGACCTGCTTGAACAACCCTAAGATAACGAACAAGACGCAAAGCCTGGTCGTGTGTATGAACAAGGAAATATACATACCTGACTGGTATAGCGAATCAAGAGGCATTGGGCCAATGGAGACCTAACAGTACCCCTTGTCAGGCTGGTAACCAGTTTGCTAACAGCTAGACGATCATTTTGGCGTATCTGCAAGTAGAAAACAAATTATAATTTAATCGGATTTTGCATAAGCATAATCTTTCTTTTATAAAAG